TGTGTGTGTAATTGTTATATACACATAATACAATTGAGAATGACATTTGTCTACTACAGATAATAATAATAATAATTCATTATGATAATAATATCATATTTTTTTTCTTCAGTCATTAACCAATGGAATGTTAAGTGTTTTGATTATTTAAAATTCTATTTAAAAGTATGTTATATTTATATTTGTTTTGGAAATTTTATTTATTATTTTAGTTATGGTATCTTTATATAATATGGACTCGAATTCCGAGTTACCATTTAATACATCTCATTATCCACATCATCATTTACCTTATCATCATCATGGAAATATTTATGATCCATCAATACAACCTCCATCAACTACACAACCATCATTACCACCACCACCATCAACTAATTGGATGATGAATCCACATCATTCACATACACATTTAATGATGCAACATCATTTACAAATTCCTCCATCACAATATACAAATGGTATTAATGGACCTAATTCAAATTCATCAAAAGATGATCCATCATCTCCATTATCATCATCACCTGGTGGTACAACACCACCAACATCATCATCAGCATTAACACCAAATTCTATATCAACAAATCATCATCATCATCAACATCAACATCATCATAATTCATCATCATCATCATCAAAAAAAACTCTTGATGATCGTGTTAAACGACCAATGAATGCATTTATGGTATGGTCACGTGGACAACGACGTAAAATGGCACAAGAAAATCCTAAAATGCATAATTCTGAAATAAGTAAATGTTTAGGTGCTGAATGGAAAAATTTAAATGAAGATGATAAACGACCATTTATTGATGAAGCTAAACGTTTACGTGCAATTCATATGAAAGAACATCCTGATTATAAATATCGACCAAGACGTAAAACAAAAAATTTACAAACAACAACATCAACATCATTATCAAATAATCATAATTCAACAACAATGATGAATAATCATCATTCACATCAAAAAAAAGATAAATCAAATCATCTTCATCATCATCAACAACAACAACAACAACAACACCAACAACATCATTTAAATTCTTCAACATCAAATCTTTCATCAGTACAATCATTACCACCACGTGGTACAAGTTGGGGATTACCAACAAATGTTGTTGCATCAACATCATCATCATCACCATATTTAACTGATTGTAATTCATCATATTCAATGACAGATCCAAATACACTTTATACACATCCATTTCCACCTCCACCACCTATGTATCATTATGGTCCACCATCAAGTACAAGTCCTCAAACACCTCCACCACCTGTTCAATATGGTTATAGTGGTAATCATCCATATTCTTATATGAAACCTGAACCTATATCATCTCAGCAACATTTTTATCCACCATTAGCACCAATATCACATCAAGATTATTCTCCACCAGATCCATCATCACCTGAACAGCATATGTAATCAGAGAAAAAGACCTATTTGGTTTTCTATTGTCATTGAAAACAAAACAAAAAAAAAAAGAAAATAAAGCCCGGTCGATGTGCAATCTATTTGAATCTCAATTCATATGACATCTTCGTTTTTTTTTTTTTCTTCTCTGTCTATCATATCTTTCTATTTTGTCGCATCGGCTGTATACGTGTGTTCGTGCCGTTTTGTTCGTTTTTATACACATTCTCTGTATTGATTCCAAACGTTTTTTTTTTCTGTCTTGTTCTTTTTTTCTTTTTTGTTTTTTGGCTCTTCGTTTATTTGTTCACACATGCGACATGGATACACAGTGAAAAAAAAGGGAAGAAACGTTTTTCTTGTTGTATAAAACAAAAGAGAAAGAAATATATATATATATATTATACATGAAGAAATATGAAGCCATGTTCGATTAAGTATAATGTCATCATTTTCACATTTTTTTTTTTTTTTTTTTTTTTTTTTTCTATCTCAAAGCTTTAATAGTTCGTATGTTGACATGATGGATTGATTTGGCCCTGTCACGCATTCATTCGTTTCTTGTCGCCAATTGCACCATACCGGGATTGCTCCGGCTGCTGTATATAATCGATGTGTATATGTATGCATGTATGTGACAATGTGTGTGAACCATGACCTACTCATTGTTGATCGAACGAAAGAATGACAGAGAAAAGCGCCGATTCTCTCTCTCTTCATCTAGCCCTCCTGTTGTGCTTTGCTCTACACTTATCGTAGTATGAGGCAGGCTGGCCGACTGTGTAGGTGAAGAGAATAAATTAGTGTTGTTTCTACCTCCCAGCATCAATAAATAATAGACGACATCGTCTAAGATGATGGTAGTACGAATAAGAGATGAAAATTACTAATACGCATATTGGATAGAGAATAAGAAAAACGAAGAGAGAACATCTTGAATTATAGACGAGAGTAAGATTAGAGCCGATGCAGTGACAACGGATAAGCTCTGTATATGGTCTTTCTTATATATTTTTCTTTTTCTTTTTCTTCTTATTGCTTTCTCTCTTGGGAACAATTGTCAGTGCAACTCTTGTCGCACTTTCTCGATAATTGCTTATTAGACATACATACATATATACGGAATCGAGTCGGTGCTCGTAGGCGCTCAAGAGAAAAAGAGATTTTGTGATTATATGAAGGAGACAGTATGTGAGTAATCAGGCGTATAGATTTATAATGGATGTTGTCTCTTTTTCTTTTTCTTTTTCTATTTCTGTTGTTAAAGAATGATGTTATATTAACAAAATACTAAATATTCATTGACAATTTCTATCGCCGGATGTGTAATGATCATTAGAGGTGTGAGAGGTGTTAGTATGTATGTATGCATTTGCTAATGGTCATTTGTATCATGTGTGTGAGAGAGAGAGAGCATAGAAAAATATTGACCATCGTCATCAATCTCTTTCTCAATGTTGACACAAAAAATGGCACGTCGTATGTTTTAGTTGTATTCAAGTCTTCATTAGGATACATGATGCTATTAAAAGAAAAGGAAAAGGAAGCTCTACCATCAGAGCTTCATTCATTAATCGAATTCAGATCGTGTCGTTTGTCGACATTGTGCCTATAGAAAATCAATGAATTGAACTAATCAAACTGTCCACTTGATAGTAGAATCTTTCTTATTTTTTATCATCAAGTGGACATATCCTATCAAATCTCAATGAATCAAATATTTCTTCATGTTTTTTTTTTTTTTTGAGTATTTCCATTAAGAATAAAGAAAAAAAAATCGAGTTCTTGTTTTCTTTTTTTTTTACTTGTAGTAAATAATTAAAAAAATCTATGTTCAATCTGTTTCTATTGAATTTTTTATAAGCGTAAAAAAGAGAGAGAGAGAAAAAAGACTAGTTGATCACAGCAGGTAACAGGAAATAAACTGCTAAGCATAGGAAGCAAGATACAAACTAATTTTCTTTTCATTCAATAATTAGAAACTTGATGAATTCTAATTTTCTATAGGGAATAAATCAGGATAAGTTTAGATACAATTTATTTGATTCTAATTTAGTAACATATTTCTTAAAGATATTTTTCAATTGCAATGCTTTTTTAAGAATTCATAGTAAAAAAAAAAGAAAATAGATTAAGATAGATAAGACAAAAAAGTTTAAACTAAATTTATAAATAGAATCAATGCTTTAGGGACCGAAAATAGTTGTATCATTGTCATTGAACCACAATTTTCTTGTTAAAAGCTCGTCGGGTTGAACATTTTTCGGATCCATTTTTATTCAATATTCTATATTTCAATTATCCGATATGAATATTTCATTACAAGAATCTGTGATTATCCTGGATTTTCTTCTTATAATCTAATTGAAAATTCAGTCATCATATTATGATTTCTGTAGAATGTAATGATAGAAATATTTTATTTTATTTCTCTTAAATATTTATTTATGATTAATAAAAGATAAATTTTTTTTGCTTATTTCATATATATATTATTAAATAAATTTATTCATCTTGTATATCATATGTTTATAAGGTAATAATCTATATGATTGTTCACGAATTTTAACTAATATTTCAAAATTAATATTATTATTAATAGATTTTTGTTGAAAAAAATTTTCATTTTTTAATTGAAAAAAATATTTCCAATATTTTTTTAAAATTTTTTCATAAAATATAATATATAATATCCATAGAATAATCATTAAGATTAATATTAATATACAAGCAAAAAAATAAGTAAATGTATAACTAGTTAAAGTAGCTGTATTACTTATCATTATTATCTAAAAATAAATGTTTCAATTGAAAATGAATTTTAAAGAAAAAAAAAACAAATCTTATATACCAAAAGATCAATACTTGTTAAACAAAATTGATCACCCCATAAATAAGTTAAACGAAAATGATAAAGACCTTCATCCTAAAAACAAAAAATAAACTTTTATTTGATTTTATTTTTAAATTTTACCATTAATTCTAATTTAAGATTTGATCCAATAAAGATAAATTTTCCATTTAATAATGATTTATTTAATAATTCAAATATATGAATTTCATTATCTGTTAATTGATTATAATCTTTTAAAAATAAATTAATAGTTTTTTCTTTTATTTCATTCGTCCATGAATTCTCTAAAACAAAAATATGATATTTCTTTTCTGTCATTCGTTTTCATTATTTCAATCTGAAGTTGTTTTTTTTTTTTTTTTTTTACATACTAATATCATGATGATAATAGAATGCAAGCAAAAGATTTCCATCAATACATATCTACTCTATGAAATTTTTAAATCAATTCTCCGGAAGACAAAGTCTGAATAGAATAATAATTTATTAATTTAACATAATAAAAAAAAAAATCTGTTTTAGAATAAGAACATTTTTGAGTCAATTAATTAGTTGAAAAAGATATATTAAGTTCTGTCATATTACTATAATTTATGTATGAATCAGCAGACAATAAGAATTAGTCAATGATTCAATATAAAATAATAATACACAATTAGGAAGTGCGAAGAGTAACTTAATGAAACAAAAGAGAAAACTAAATAAATAAATAGAGCATGAATAATATAGTCATCATCTATTCTTAGTCATTATTGTATTCAAGTCAGAATGATAAAATTATTTTTCATTTTTCAATTGTAGCATACTCCATAGTACATTCAAATAGTTGTAAGGAAAAAAAAGATATCGAGCTAATAAAACTATCTGTATGAGTCGTAGTCTCTATTGAGAAGTGAAACTTGCTTCCTGATGAATGATATTTGAATAAAAATATGAGAAAAATCTGGCCTCCGATTACAAATGATTCGAAATTATAGGAATTTCTATATAGGATCATTTTCACTAAAAAAATTGACCAAAATTTAGGTATTGTACGTCGAACCGGACCTCAAATGTATGTGCTTTACTTGCAAGAAACAGCTATTCACATTACCTGAAGTGATGACCTGGGGGTAGAGAGCTGCGGGTCCATGTTTTTTTGGACCCGGACCCGGCCGGGTCTAGACCCGATCCTTTTTTCACCAATATTTGGCACCCTATGTGTACATGAACAGAAAAGGGAACACAATTTTAGCTCTTTACTGGCGACTTTAAAGGGAAAATGAGTGTAAAATTATTTCGGACTGTTTCTTTTTCAATTTTATTGACTTCAATTGTTATTGTTATATATTTCCATTCATAACTTAATGCAGACCGGGTCTGACTTTTCTCTTAGGTTTAGACCCGGGCCCGGGAAAAGCTAAATTTTCAGACCCGGGTCTGGAAGGACCCGCAGCTCTCTATCGGGGGGGGGGGGCGCTGCGAAGATCCCCGTACTCTCCCTCAGGGCAAGGTCAAATCTCGTAAAATTTTTCCACTTTTTTAACAAAATATAGGATTTTTCAAACAAAAAAAATAGGAATTATAGGACAAATCGGAGCCCAGGAAAAATTGAAGATCGAATATTCTTCTTTTTACCAATCAATTGATAATCATGACGATTCGATAATTCTTCAATTAAAAAAATACTTTTATTGTTTGGTAAATAAAAAATATCATTTTCCATCCATAATTTCATATAAATACGATTATTTATTGTTGAATCCATAGTATAAAACTTTTGAAAAAAAAAAAGAAAGAAAATAACCGAATATTCAAACGAAAAATATTCTAATACTTGTTCAGCACAATGCATTGAATAATGAAAAATCAATGATGAAACACATGAACAATTTTTAAATCCATCACAGATCAAATTCTAAAATGAAAAACAAATATAAAAATTAAATTTTTATATCTAATTTTTAACTTTTTCATGATCAATATTATAAACAATAACTGAATTAAATCCAGCTTGATATCGATTAAATTGAAAATTTATCTAAATAATTTCGAATTCATTTGAAAAACAAAAAATTTTCTTCTTCTTCTTTATTTACTGGTGGATCGATGGGAATCAATTTTGATAAATTGAAATTTATTTCAAATTTAGGTCGAATTATTGTATTTGATAAACATTTTGTTATAAAAGTTATTGTTCGTCTCGAAGGTAAATAACAAGATAATTGACTACGTATAAATTCTTGATGAATTATTGATTTTCTCTATTATTAAAAAGAAATAAAAGATTGCACTTAAGACTTATTAAAAATTTATAACTAACATTATCAAATAATGAAGTAATTAAATATAGATTATTATCAATTTTATTTTCATGTATTATATAATCATTATGTGTTAAAAAGTGAAAATGTTCAGTGACTAAAGAGAAGATTCTTTTTTTTTTTTGTAGTTTTACATTTTAACAAACCAAGTTGATCACCATTAGCTATTGGATAAACTATTGCTGGTTGAATGTAGATCAATGATGGACGATGATAATTTGAATCAATATTTTTTAATAAACATCGATCTAATATTTGCTCAACTTTCTAAAAATTAGAATGAAGAAAATTTTTTATACAAGCAAACTTCAAATGTACGATACAAGACTTTTATCTCGAACAGAAATACAAAAATTTTAGCCTTTTTTCTATGTGCAAAAAAAAAACATTATACAATTAATTAGTTCGATTTCTTCGACGATGTGAATCTTCTTTTAAACTCATTTCGACCGGTACATATCTCTAGAACCACTCATCCTTATTAATAATTAGAATTTGAGATAGTTGAATATGTCTTAAAATATTCTGTAACGAACAGAACTGTACTATCTATCTATATTAAAATGTACAATACTATAGAATATTTATCTGTATAATACAAACTTGTATATTAATTATATTCCATTGATTAACATGTGTATAATTAAATTTTATCTCTTGAAAAATTCTACCAGATGCAAATGTATTATTGAAAATATGATCAATAAATATATTTGGAAATTTCGAAATGACTATTGTAGCATTTTGATTTTCAATATTAAATATACATCCTGATAGAAATAAATGAATTTTTGTAGTATTTTGTAAAAGTTGAATAGTCAATAGACATTGACGAAATGTTTGAATCGGATTATAATCCAAACGAGAAGTTTGTAAACAAAAAGCAAATTGTGAAACGGAAGTATACATATTTATAATAAAAAATAAACCAATGTTACTAATCAAGAAACAAAAAAAAAAAATAAAGACAAAATAGAAGAAATATTATATAATCTTAATTATATAGTATATTTACTCAAATTGAAGTGTTGAACCGATCAGTTCAAATCGATTATTCCATGATGAAAATGAACAAAAAACAAAGAATCGATTCATATCAGTTTCTTTAACAAAAAATGGACCCGGAATATAATTAACTAAGAGCTACCATGAATTTTATTCAAAAAAAAACAAAATAATGAATTATTTTTCTATTTACATGTGGTGTTGCAACAAGTGATTGTTCTGTTGCTTGTATGACTAATAGAGGTGGTGAAGCATTAAAATAAAAACTACCAGTTGAATCAAAAAAGAATGGTTCATTCATAAGAACAGATGATCGAAATGTTTGAGTACGCCATCCATAATACAGACCTAAAATTATTTTTCAATAGAGAATATCAATTTGAAAATCTTTGATTTTGACCTGTTTTTGAAAAAATAGCAAAATAATAACAACATGAAGAATTATTATTTAATTGATAGATAAAAGCTAAATGACCAGTATCAGAAAATATTATTGGATCAAGAATTATTGAATTATTCAATGAATTATTATCGTTCCATATTCGAATTAATTTAGCACCATAATTATTTGATGCATAGATCTTAAAAAAAAGAAAAGTATCGATTCATTTTTTTTTTTGCGATTGAAGAAATTTTATTATCATATACATTTTGTTTGCCAATTAAATAAAGTATATTTGATAACATATTAAAATAAAGATGAAAATATGTTGATGAACAAATATTTTTTTCAAGAATTATCTCAGAAAAATATAATTGTTTACTTAATTGAATTATTTTATTTAATTTATATTGATATACGCGTAATAATATTTTATTACATTCATTCTAAAGAAAATCAATAATCAACACGATAAAATAAAATAAACTATTAATACCAATTCAAATATAGCTAATTGTTTATATGGAATAAATAAAACATCAATAAAATTAAAATTTACTATTTGTTTATTCCACTGTTGAAATGGATATAATGAATAATAGAAAAAATTTTGAAGTGTACCATAAGTATGTTGAACAATTGCTAAATCATTTTCTTTAAAAGATAATAAAAGAATAGTTTTAGCAAAGTTTAATAGTCATGAACAGTTTCGCATTTTAGGCTTAAAAATTTGCATATGTTTATGACATGTACGTCTATTCATGGGCTATTTTTTCTTTTGCATTTATGCGCAACAGTTGAAAATATTTGAAATAGCTTGTATTTTCATACACATGCATTTTTTAAAGTTTTTCTGTTTTATTGGAATCGGTTTTGAAGTCATGTGAGAAATATCTATTTGAAATCTTACTATCTGGTATTTGACCAATATTCATTGAATTAGTTATTGTTGACCAAAAACGATGTGTTTGATTCTATAAATACATTCTATGTAAATATCTAAAAGAAATTTTTTTTTTTTTTTATTAAACAAACTGATGGAAAGAGTGAACAAATAAATTCTTCATGAAATGTTTTAAATATTCGAGATACGATTAAACCACGATTTGTTACAATGATATCATGTCTTGAATGTTGATGAAGAATGTTTAATTCTGGACAAGTATCAATTTTAGTACATAAACCACAACAAATAGCAATATCTATTGATGATTTTGGATAAGAACAATGGTCTCCTTGATTTTCTTTGAATTCAAAACGAGAAAATTTTAAGTTTTAGCTTTCTGAGTAATAGATTATCACTTTGAATAATAAGATCAATTTGTTTATTAAATATTGTTGATTGTATATTGAGTATTGGTTTGCGATGAAAAAATAAATCTTTAAATCTTTTTATTAATATCTATTTCAATTAAATAAATACCTGATTTATTGATAATTGAAGAAAAATCAAAATTCCAAAAATGATTATAATCTTTATTCAATTCACCATATGATTTAAACAAATCCCAAGATGATTGTAGGGTCAAAGGTTGATGATTGATTTGTTCATACCATAGTTCTGTTAATAAACGAGATATATGCTTATTATCAACACCAATACTCGCATGGATAGTCTATGAAGACGGAAAAAACAAACTCTTCTTTATATTTTATTTTTCTTTATATTGATCTTTACAGTCAATGGATTATTTAACTTGATGATATAACTCGATTGATCAGTAATCAGTCGATAATCACCTAAAACATGAGTTTTGCTAAAATAGATTTAATTCAAAGAAAATTACATACGTTTTTTGCATGATAAATCTGATGGATTTAGAGAATGAAATGATTCAATTGATTTGACACATAAATATAAAAACCATAATTTCATGATTAAGGTTTAACAAAGGCGCCTAGACTAATCGACGTTGTTATCAAGAAAATTCGTCTTTGATGGTCAAGACAAATGTCACATGATGACTATGTATGTATGTATGAATATAAACGCCTGCACATATTTTGTTTATTTTTACAAGACGAAGTTTTTTAGTATCGAAATAGAGGACTTAATAGCAGATTATTTATTATGAATTTCAAGTGATTGACATGACGAAAACGAAGTAGGATTATAATGTTATTTTTCAAATCTCGACAACAGTGAACTTGTGTTTCATTGGTACTGTGAGATCATTCTGAACAGCTGCTATAAATGAGGTTATATTCAATAAAACTGTTGAAGAGTTATTCATATTTTATTTTCGTGGAGACTTTTGAAACACACTATACGTAAAAATTCTTTTACTAGAATTTAATAATCAGTGCACAACGAAAACTTCGTCCACAGACAATCTCGTTGGTCTCACTTGTAGGATGTGAATGTAGGACAGTGAAGATGCCGCCCACACCCTTGTTGTAAAATCGCCAATTAATCGTGGATTATTAGAATCTCGAAAAAATCACTGATTAATCGCCAAAAGTGACGCAATTTTAATGGCATGGTTTGATGTCTAAATTTTAATTCTCGCCTTTCTAAATGAGCTAGTACAGTGTGGGTGTGGATGTAGGGGTTGGTATGGGTGTCGGCGTAGGTTTGGATATCATAGCTCTCTTGGGTCACAAACATTCACACGAAATAGCCAAACCGACTTCGCCAGCGACATCCACACTCTTTGACTTTTCTGAATGACGAAACTTTGAGGAAACTAATGATCAATTTTTGTTTCTCCAAGGAATTATCATAGCTTCGCTGAGTTTCTTCACAACTTAGGAATTTCAATTTGTCACGTCCTGGAGGGTGTGAACCTTCTTTTCAATCATACTCAGGCTTACACACTTTTATTTCTTATTGGTATACTTATATATCTTTCATATTTTTTAGCATGCTATGAAATATCTTTTTCTGCTCGTCGACAATCTCGAAATAAACTTTTTCTCCAAATTTTCATATGATCGAAAATCTGACGAATTAGTCATTTTTTTTTCGGCCAAATCCATGCCATTCGAGAGCTCATCGTTTTCTCTCTCTCTCTATATTGACTTTGACTAACTCTGTATGTGTGAAAGGACAATATTAATTCATCCATTCATGAATCAGCTTGATTAGACTTCAATGTTGGAATTTTGCGCAACTATATATATACAGCTGTTTAAAGAATTACGAGTCATAATGAGCATGAATGATTCAACTGTTGGTATTGTTGACTTATTTGATGAAATTTTACGTATTGTTTTGAAGAATCTTAATAATTTTGATGTGCTATATTCACTTGTGGGTGTTAATCAAACACTTGATAATGTAGCATGCGATATTAATTTCACCCGGGCTGTCGATCTAATGATGATATCATCAAATGCGGCGGACGATTCGAGAACTAATGCAATATTTGATCGATTTTGCATGTACATACTACTTCGAATTCATGACAGTGTGGAATGTCTTACTATTGAAGGATGCTTCTTGCAACGTGTTCTTCTTGCTGGCAATTATTTTAACTTACACAAGCTTACTCTCATCAATCGCAAATTCAAGATGGCTTCTCATATCTTCAATGGTATGTTAATTGATCTCTGAATGTTCAAGAAGAAGAACAGTTCATTTTATTTTGTAGAAGACTCTCCATTTATTCACACCTTCAAACATCAAATTTCAGATCTAGCGGTAACAATTAATCACCTACTTCTAGATGAATCAATGAAGAATTTACTCATTGACATTTATTTCAATATTTTTGCCTTGTTAACAAAGCTGAAGTATTTGAATTTGGTTGTAAATGATACCTATCCTTTTCGACGATCATTGCTGAGCAGTTTATCTTCTACTATATGTTTTTTCGTCGAATATTGTTCATTTACGGATTAGAATGCACAATTTTGATGATTGCCGTTGTCTACTTGATGGTCGTCTTAGTCAATTACATACATTTATTATCAATCTTGATTACATATATAATACATTCAATAACATGCACCATCGTCGTTCAGTAAATATCAGATATGATTTATTAAAGATCATAAATAATTTGGTAAATAACTATTTATCTTCATTTCAGTGTTTATTAGAGAACCTTTGAATTAATAATGTTTAGAAACAATTCTTAAAAATATGCACTCGTGTGTGAAAAACTAAAAATAGGAAACATATTTTATGGAAAAATTAGCGAATGAATAATTTAATTTAAATAACATCTGGTGATATACCGTTGTAAGCTTTATTGTTCATGAACCTATTAGATTTTTTTTTCTCGTCTGTAATTGCAAGTTCTGTATTAACTACATTTAAACTCTTAAAATGATGATGAAAAATAGTTCTATCATCAATTAAGTGAAGATATACTTCGAAAGAAATAGAAATTTGAGAATTAGAAATCTTGTTATATCTTTATTCTTCCACGTTTACAAGACGCATTCATTTATACATTCATGAGTTGCTTTTCCGTCGTTCACCTAGTATTAATTGTGTTAAGCGAATATAAAAATACATTTTTAACTACTTTCTTCTGCATTTTCACTTTTGTAACTCATTCATTTATATGTGTTTAACTGTCTTTGAGTTGTTTTTCAATATTTAACTTTTTGAATTTTAAGCGACATCATTTATCGGATTCTTAAGACTTGAAACTCGACCGGCAAACCGATATCGGACCGGGTGTGGGTATGGGATGTTGGTGTAGATCTTGTGTTGAATGAAACCCACATCCGTATCTTCACCCACAACATATATCAATCTACAATAAATATTGATTTTCCACTATTAGTTTTGATAAAACCACATTGAAACTTCGCCTTGACTTTGATTAAAATTCTTCGTAGGTAAGTCTAACTAATTTAACATTCAGTTGATAATAATAATCTATTTTAATACTTAGATTAGTTCGAAGACTAATTTTTATACGCATTATCAACTTTAGATCAATTGAAAATTTAAAACAATTTTATTTTATTCTGAGTTAATTTTCTTCACGTTCACAAATGAGATATAATCGGAGAAAACCGTCACTTACACCTCTTCTGTATGCCAATGGACTTTGACATTTCATGAAAAATCAGATTTGTTCCCACCTTCATGCTTTCAAGTCGAATATTTGACAAAAAATTATTTTATTAGAAAATATTGAAAAAGAATCAAATTTCCGAATTATGATAGATATACTGATAAAGAATAGAATATATCTATTTTAGTTTAACATTGAAAATCTTGAACAGAAATACTACCCGATGAAAATGCCTTGGTGAGAAAGTCTTGGATAGCCCATTCCATGGCCCCATTTCGACTTTGTTTTGTATCACGTCCTTCGATACCTGGTGCTTTACTATCACATCGAAACTTGGCATCCCATTTCCATTTGAACTTCGAAATACGCCCTTTAAGATTGCCAACACATTGCATACCACAAAGTGTGATAGGTGTATCTTCGCTCCAACTATGTAAGGTCCAAATTTTATGAGCCAATTGACCGACACATGCCATGTAGTTACCAGTAGACGCAGCACTGGCACAAGATGCTATGGCAAATCTTCCTTGAGCACCATTATCATTGCCTGATGTTTGCATTCCATGTCGTTGAAGAAAAGATTGTGCAACTTGGTTCATGTTGCCAAAGTTCCAAGCATGACTGACGCTCATAGCGACAAGAATAATCATAGAAGACATCAAGAATATTGTTGTTCGTGACATTGTTATTCGACTATATTGATATATTGAGAAAGAACACACTTTGTCATACTGATCTCTCTGTGTATTTATATACGAAACGATAAACAATCACAAAAACATCTTGATTGTGTTGTGTTATTTTGATTAGAACACGAAAGACAGATAAATAATAACACGTCATTGTGAATTTCTTGTTTCGATGATTGTACATGGTACGAAATTCGATATAGGACAATAAAAATGAAAGGGCATGGGAAAGATAACTTACGATGGTCGAAGAGAAAACTATTTTTTTATTTTTTCTCTTTGTCATACGATCTATGACTCATGTAACATACAACATTGATGAAATAGAATGATTATTGTGTATTTGGAAGCGATGTACTTACTCGTTTCACATGTTCTTGTGGATATTGTTGACTAATTAGTGGGAGAGAAAAGCACTTTTAAATGACAATACCATTAACATTTCATTCTCAAATGTTATCTATCTTACGTTGCAAGTGTTGGTCAACTAGGATTAAGAATATGGTTATTTGATGCATCGTTAGCCTAACGCTTACTCTTGTTAGTGTTCGTTGACTGACTAAAATAGAAACAAACTTCAATTAAGAGATACATTCGACGATGATCAAGATTGTCCTATATGATACATATATAAATTGCATTTTTCTCGACAGAAAATAGGATATTAACGCACCATGCCAAAATTGAAACATTAAGTCCCAATATGATAACATTTTCAGATTAATATTTGTGCTGACTTCACTAAGAAAAAGTGTGGGTATAGGTGATATGATCAAGAATTAAGAAATCATCACAAAACATTTGATTGATCAATACAAATTATGAAAATATGAATGAGTGCGTCAAGCTTCATAAATGGTTTTAAGCATTATAGAGCAAGTGCTTCTGACAAAATTCACTTCAATAGCATCCTTATATATTTGACATTTAATCATAAGTAAGTTACAAAAAAGTTAAAATTCGCGAAAAACCATGTGTTTCAAAGCAAAGAACACGTTCACTAAGATATGTACTTTTTTGTATGCATCATATTGATTAGATTTGACATTGTCCTGCTTTAAGGTTTACTGCTAAGAAGAATGCACCAGTCAATATAAAAATAAATGTAAATGGTACATAGACAATGAGAGCAATGATCATCTGCACTAATTCTTCTGTTGAATTCCGATCTAAAAACTGATATGATCAGCAGATACTTTCATGATCATTTATTCGTCGTCGTTGTTTTCGAAACATACGGATGACAGCAGAAATGTATCATTCAAGTATGCATTAATTGAATAAACAATTCCTTGTTTAATATTTTATTCTGATGCCATATACTTCACCATTGCAATTTCTTTGAAGTATCTATAAGCTTTGTCTAAGAAAAAAAAAATGTTTGATCATATATATCAAATTGATATGACGGTAAAAAAAGCACAATCTTTTGATGGCAAGGTTGAGTAAGTATCTCTTTAGTTCAACTCCATAAAAAAATGAAATAAAGAATGCAAATATGATTGAAAAACGAGATAACCTACATGATTTCTTTTATGTCATTTCTATCAGTTTGTTCTATTGACAAATGTTCGCAAGTCATTTTTTGAATTAAATATTTGTACTTCGCAAAAGAAAAATTTGAGCATTCAGCGAAATTTTTCTGATTCGAAACTTTTTTTAAAACAGCATCACATTCTTTTTGCTCACATCAATCGTAGCGTGTACATTCATAAGACGATGTACTTTAGAAAGATGTTTATTAAAGCAATTTACAATGAATAATGAAAGTTAGTTTGTCAAAAAACCGATATTGCTTTTGTACATCGCTGATGATTATGTAATAAGATTGTTTTTTGCGTCATAACGTCAATTCGATTTTTCATAGCTACACAAAAATGATGATAAACATCAATGCCAATACCAGATTACTTTTCATGTACCCATTAAAAACATGTGTTCAAGAACAGAAAAAACGAAATCTTCATGTAATCTTACTAATAAATGCATTCTGCCATTATTATCGTATTCATTTTGCTTCTATTGCAATCGAAAGATTACCAAAGTTATATGTTCGCTGCTGCATGCTCTCGCTCTATTCAAACTTGAATCAGTGTTTCGTCATATCCACCACAGAAAAGAAAAAATCAACCACGAGAAAGAAGAAGTAAAGGTTATGCGAGTCAAAGAAAGAGAGAGACATAAGAAAAAGAAACAATGAGGCGAAATACATTTCGTCTCTTAACACCTCCTTTCCTACGGTGAATGAGAGTCCGACAAGGAAGAAACACCAGACACCAGACTGAAAGAGTTTCCACTATTTTTTGAATATGTCAACACTACTTGAAGCTATCGAGCAGCAATTTTCGCCAATATGTAGCTTTCACTCGGGATACTCAATGAGTGCATGACTTTCTTTTTTTATTTCACAGGTATATTTTGACAAGGACTACCTAATCTAAATCCATAAAAAGGTTAGATCACTTTCTTTTGTTCTAAAAAAGATGGACAAAAACTATTTGAGAAATGTCTAGCAGTTTAAGAGATCATGTCTTAGTGAAGATGAATTCTAAAGTCATGTCGATATCCAGACTTTCGATTTGTATGTGTCAAAAGGTGTGGGATGAGTGTGTGGGTGTTAAACAAAGAACCTTACTCGCGCCCACACCCACATTCTCTATATTAATTACATTTAATCATCTGTTTAACCTCGGTCTTTCATATGCACACAGCGATGATGCTATACAGTTTCTTTTCGATGAAAATCTCGTAATTAAATATGAAATATTCGCAACCGTGACAAATTATTTCAACAATGATACAATGCGTTTGAATTGTTCGAAAATAAATATCTTTATGACAAATGTGAATTGTTTGTTTGTCCAGAAAACTTTTATTCATATTTTCCGAATTTGTAAATCTTAATCTTTGTAATAATTCTTGAAATAAAAATAAACTCGTTGAAAAATTTACAATATATTCCAAGCATGATAGAGATCAGCTACCATAAACGCTTCGACTACTGCTAAGAAGATCATCAGATGACGTTAGAACAATTTCTATTAATAACAATCAAAATGAGAGAAATAGGAATTGAATAATTCAGGGTGAGGGTGACATGAGATAGACGAAGAGCAATGCACAAGTGAGAGTAATGCTGAAAGAAATTGTACAGAATCATCAAATGAGATATAAAGCCGAAACACAGCCTAAGTTTCACCTAATTTTACTATATTTAATTAGAACTTACATACTATAGAGTGATTACTGAAATTTTTCTGAAGAATTTGCGTTTTATGTAAAAAAAAGATAGAATACAGCAGATCAATTTTCTTAACTAATTCCGATGACTAGCAGTATAATCATTCATATTTGCCATTAATATTTACTAAATTTTTTGATTTTTCATTTTATGGTTTCCAATTAGTTACAGTTAGATCTTCCATGAATGAAAATGATTTTTGAATTTGAAGAAAATGTTTATGTTCAAAAAGATGTTTATCATATAATGATACTTCACGAACATATGTAAATAATCCACCTGGAAAGTTATTTGTAATACATTCATAACTTGTCAATGTAAATGGATATGAATAAACATAACATTGACCTTCATTTTTATTTAGAAAATAATTTGATTATTTGGAAATCCTCTAAATGTATTTTCGATATGTTCATTTGTTAATAAATCAATTTGATTAGAATGCTTAATAATATTTGCTGTCAAATCATTTCCATCAACAAATGATTTTTTACGAGAACATTTAAAATAAAAACGAAGTTCTTCTAAATTTGGCATTCGATGTAAAAATGGTATAACTGCTTCATCATAAAAGTATATTTTCAAATTACAGGATAATGAAAAACATTTTAAATTTAATAGTTTTTCCTAAAATATAATAATTTGTTTTAAATAAATAAGAAATTGCTAAAAATCTACTTTATGTATTATTGAGATTGTACGAGAACGCGGTGATAATACACGAAATTGATCGAAACGACCATCAAGTAAATGAAGACAATCGTCGACACAATCTACTTTAATATACAATTCTAAAAAATTTGAGGAAAAAAATAGATGGTAGCATATTTTTGAATGATATTCTTTGAAAATAAACATCACATGAATCAAAATTTAGATATTTTAAATTAGAAAACATAGTAATGATATTTGTAAATATTAGTGCATAGAGATTATATGTGAAATGTTCGTTGCCAATGATTTGAATAAGAAGTGATGAGATCTGATTTTTGAACATATGAGTTAATAATGTTTGATCTAAATAAAAGATCAAACATTATTTAAATCATCTAGTCAAATTAATCATCTTGATTTTTACTACCAAAACATTTTCCAGACATTATATTTTACCTATAACAAGATATAAAGCATTCTCTTTTATAATGTTATATATATCATGTTCAGATAAATTCGAATAATTTCCAGCAAGAAGAATACATTCTATAGATGATGCTTTAAGATTAAACCATTTGATTTTATGTTCAATATTAGATAGGATATGCAAACAAAATTGATCAAGTATTGGATCAGATAGTGAAGAAATACGATTATACGAGAAATATTCCTTTAATGTTAATTTATTTGTAAAAATAAAATCATGCAAAAATTTTATTTAATTGTTTATTGACACCTATTAACGAGTAAAGCAATTCGATGTTGTTGAGTTTTTTGAAAACAATCAGAAGAATTTCATCAGGTAAATCATTCAATTGAATACATGAATATTCCATGTTTATCTATATCTATGTTTCTTTTTTTTTCTTTACTTATCAAATGTGAAAAATTACAAATTTATATATGCTCGTTCTATCTGCCCGATTTCATCAATGATACCACTAATGTACTTTTGGTCTGATTATGAAATAGACAATAAATGAATGAATAAGATTATTTCTTTTCCTGACATGCTCATTCTTCATATTTGACGAGAACGAACGGAGCCGCATAATACGTCAAATCGGCCCATCCGTACTTTTCTCGGTCAACCCTATAAAATCATATGTTAACAGGAATAGCAAGTTAAGACGAACATCTTGGTCCTAGTTTCATGAGGTTTTGATTGAACTTTGAAAGCTAAAAACTATGCACAAAGTAGTGCATTTTTGGTCATTTTTTTTTTGAATAATCAAATGTGTCATTGTGGATTCTATTTGACAATAAGTAGGACTCACAAAATCCAATTAATGTTTTCATTTCCATAGCGCTTTAATGAGGCTCCAGTCCTATGCATAAATCACCAATTAATTGTTTATTTTAACAAAATATATGTCCAATATACTAGTACATACTATTAGTATATTTATTGTATGTGTTATCCATCTTAATCTTTCAATAAATATTTTATTGTAAAAATTGAAAAGACCAAAAAATTTGGTATTGTTCATTTGATTGCCCTTTGAAAAAACTACAAAACCATATATTTTGTCCAACCAAAAAATATGACCACTTAAGAAGCTCCTAAGCAGACTATTTTCCTGGCGTAGTTATTATGTCATTTTAGTCACTACTTACGAGGCTTTGATTAGAAAAAGTTCAATTAAAATAAAAACTAATATAATATTTGGAATCAGCATAAAAAACTGAGTTGATCTATGTACAATGTAAACGATTTCTGAAACTTTGTTTTTTTTGGTCGAAAAATTTAGTCGTAGGTCCTGTCAGGAACATGATGCAAATTCAATTCAATGAAAACTCGGATTTTATTTTGTAGATAGTTGCCATTTGTCCATCAAATAATTTTAAACAACTTCCAAGACTTTTCTAGGATATCAGAAAGGTGATTTGACAGAATTCATTTTTCATCATGTCTCTGAGGAAGACCACGGTTAAATTTTTCGACCAAAAAAAAAAGTTTTAGAAATTGTTTCAAATGGAACGTAGATCAATTCAGTTTTTATGCTGATTCCAAATATCATATTAGTTTTTCTTGAAATTGAGGATATGGGTGTGGATTAAGATAAGATGAAGCCACATCCACAACCACATCCCACATTCACCCACACCCACACCCACCCACACCCACACCCACCCACACCCACACCCACACCCTCAAGTATCAACAGAGAAAACGATTTCATCAGTTCATCTTCATGCAAAATTGATCAAAATTGAAAAATAAAGCAAAAAGTAATTTCCATTATAGAGCAAAAGAAGATAAAATATAAAATAAAATCTACAGAAAACTAAGTAAGTGGTTAGAAGCAATAAGCGAAAAAAAAACATACAAAAGGAAAAATGTAAGTAATTAAAAGTGGTATTTTGAGTTTAGAAGTATGACAGCTGATTCCTAAGCTTCGTTCTTTCATTTACTTTTCTGTTGTGTATGTTTGAGAATGTCTCACACGCCAAAAAAAAACAGATCGACTATTTTGATAATGAAGAATCATGAACACTAAAAGATTGCACTGATTTAGTTCCATTACTCTTTAAATCGCTCGATAAGTTTTCCTAATCGATTATTACTATCAGAAGCATCCATTTCGTCAAAATAAGCACGAGCAAGCTCTATTAGATTGTCTAAACTTTCTTTGCTTATATCGTCAAGTGAAATTGGTTTTTCAAGTAAAATCTGCCATCGATTATACTGATCACTACCTAATATATTACTTAATTGAGACTCAATATTATGTTGTGGACCATTCAAAATGACTTTCATAACATCACGCTTATGAGTTAACCAAAATAAAAGATGTCGCTTAGCATTCGGATTCAATGGATCTGGTACATAATCGCCGGTACCAAGAGATAGAATAAAAATATCCTCACGTTTGATATTTTTCTTGCATGCCTCAGTATAGGCACACATTGCTGGATTATTAGCTTGAACTCCACCGTCGACAAAAACAGTATCGTGCAAGCGATAAGATGGAAAATACATAGGTGCAGCTGTTGTGCACATGAGAACATCAACGAGTTTATAATTTTTTCTGTAATTATTAATAGCCTCACTTCGTTGAAATAGCTCTGTGGTACAACTGCGAGAGGTAGTCGCCGTGATGACAAGATCAGTCAGTGCTTGAGATAATTGAGTATCTCCAAAGTAGTGCTCGAACAAGGTCTTGCGCCCCTCATCAGTATATTTAACTCCTAAATTAAAAATCTTCCCTATGATTGACGAGCGAGAAAATACTCTTTTAGAATGGACTGTGTACAATTGAACAAGATCCACAGCTTTATAACGCGGTTTTCTGATACCAGGTTTATCTGGTAACGAAAGACCAGCAGCTATGATCCCTCCAGTTGATGTTCCAGCCATCATGTGGAACATAGAGGAGCTGCTCAATTGAGTTCTTCGTTCTAACTCACTAATCCAGATGGCTGGTATTAATCCTCTAATGCCACCACCGTCAATAGAAAGAATATTGTATTGGTGAGATTTAGGTTCGGTATGAATCAAACTCATTTCTTTGTATAGTTTGATTCGTTGTGCAGTTGTTTCTAGTTGTAATCTCAATATCAAGTTCAATTCATTTTTTGCTTCAACATAGTTCGTTTTCAATCTGAGTGCTGTTTTAATAGCATCCTTGGCCTGATCATAGTTTTGCAATTTACGTTTTACAATACCTAAGAGAAGCCATGTTTCTGGTGAATCACAAAAATATGTTTCTTTTTCAACTTTTTCCTCCAAAAACTTCTCAGCTAAGTGATATCTACTTAACTTAACTAAACATGTAGCATAGCCGAGCATTGCTCTTAAATTATGTGGAATGAGTATCAACGAGTGACTGTAATATTTCTGTGCTGTAATCCATATGTTTAATGCTTCTATATGGTTGGTATTATTAATTTTTTCAGCCTGGTGCTGATAATGAAGCGCAATTAAATTTACCAAATGACTTTGAGTTAGATTATCTGTAGCTGAATCTAACTGATTATATATATAATTCAATGAAATCTCACTGGCCACAAAAGCACCTTTTACTGGTCTAACATCTTCTGGACATTTCTTTTTTTCTGTTATTATATATACAGGAACTTTTTCCTGTTGTTTAGAAAAATCAATCACTTTTCCAATTGGAACAAATACAAATTTATGTTCATGATGGCTTTTCACAGTACATGGTATAAAAATTAGATTATACAACAGAGATAAAATCGGTAAATAGTGAAAATTCAATGATTTTTTTTGTTGTAAAAACGATGTCATCCATTCATTGATATTGGAAAAATTTTCTTTTCTTATCATCTTTCTTATTAAAGATGTCAATGGGTCAGCATAATTTTGATAATAGTAGCACACATATTCCAAAAATTGCGTTTTATTCAATTTTAGAACTTGATTTAAAACTTTATCCAACAATTCAAACTCGTCAATATCATTATCATCAAACAAAATCGGTAGTTTACACTGTAAAACTGTCTGATCATCTTTTAAAACTTTATTGATATTTTTTATATACAGATCACTTCTTGAACCAGTGATTTTTTTACTACCAAAAACTACTTTTTTTCTAGCATATGATACATCATCGGGATAACCAAACGTAGTGAAAATGTCTGTCAATGCTTGAAGACGAATTTCGCTTACGACAAACATTTTTTCTTCTGTAAGATCTTTCATCAATTCTTCTTTGACACTTTTAATCATCTTGACACTTTTTTGTAAACTCTCTGTATCTCCAACTATCATTTGTGCAATAGCGTAATTAACTTTTGCAACAAGTTTTACTGCGTCTAGACGAACACTAGCAGAAACAATTAATCTCTCTGTTGTGTACTCATTCGGCACAGAATAAACACAATCTACTAAGTTTTTTTCAAGATGTGCTATGCATCTTGTTTCTACAAATGAGATTCTCGATTCAATCTTATTGTCAATATTTTTGGCTCGTTCCGTCAGTTGTGTATTTTTTAAAACTTCCTCAAATAATATTGTTGCAAAATATATGAAATCAGGATAATTTGGTAACTCCAGATGTATATCGCCAGTGAACTCTTTTTTCGGCTTTAAATCAGGTTCACTGAGCAAAACTTCGCCAAGTAAAACGAGAAAATTGGCAATTCCTTCGGGTGAAAAATCGTAGCTCAAAAGTTCTTCCACAATCACAGTAGGTCGAATGTCAAGGAAAATTTTACAACTATTACCTTGTTTTATTTGTTTAATCCCTACTAACAATTTTGGTTTAGCATAGTGAGTAGTCAAGGTATAAAGAAATTCACTATATTGTCCTTTGTTGTAATGGTATAGCGCATTGTTCATAATTGTTTTTATGAATTCACGGATTTTAGAGTGTTGTAGATTAGATTGATTTTCGCCCTGAAATTTATTTCCCAATAAAATATCACCAATTAAATATGAAACACCAATATCAACACCACTGGGTATACTGCTAAATCTCGAACCTAGTCCTGTTTCTTTTCTATCTCGAAAAGAATTTTTGTTGAGAATAGTAAATCGTAATTCCGACAAAAGATCACTTTGAAACTGTTTTAATGTGATAGAACCCTGTCTGTAAGCCATTATAGCTTTAGTCAATATTGATTTGTTTTCTACATTGTTGACTCCCTCATTTGAAGCTGTGAACAATAGTGTTTCTGCACGACGGATTTTTCGCAGAAGGCTTTCCAATGTCTCAAAGTCATCTCTACAATGATTAGCCTTATCATTGGTTACTAACAAATAAATCCCAGAAAGGGCATAAATTTGCGCTTCGAAGGACAGACTATCACCGGCGTGGTATAGCGTAAGAGCCATCCACTTTTTCAAGTCAACTTGCTCGGCTAGGTTTTCTTTGTTTTCTGCTGCTTCGAGTTCTCTTGCTGCAGCTCGATCATATTCATACGCACTAACTGCATAATATTGCTGATAATGTTCTAATTCTTCATCGGTTAAATGCGATAAAGCTTCTCGTTTTTCTTGTTTCACATAATTCCACTCATGTTTTCTTGCATATTCATATTCAATAGCAATATTCAAGTATTTCTTTGCACTTGCCTTATACTGCTCAATTAAACTGGCTCGATTTGTCTGATAATTCGACAATGTATTCAATTGATTATCTAATTCGCCGGTTATTAATTGACAAACTTCTGTAAACATGCTGTTTCGTTTTGATTCAGATTTATCGGGTTGAAATAAAACAGATAGTTTTTTGGCGTGTGATTGAATTCGATCTTCTCTTAATGGAATATTAGCAAATAAAATAGAACGAAGCTGTGACTTATTAGAAATAAGAAACTCTACAAAATCTACCTTACGCTGATATTGTAAATATATCAAGTAATAGCAAAGATCACTTAAAAACGAAAAAAGTTTCATCTTTGTCTGATCTACAGTTTCTTCAAAACTCACTTCTATTTGAGTTAGAAGAGAATTCAAACTGACCATTATTTTCCAAATTTCCAAAATCCGTTTGATGTAGTCATCTAATGAGTTCACAGATGATTCGGAACATTCCTTGATTTTTGTCTCTAATTCAACGTTATAACTTATTTGTGGTGTGTCGTCAAGTAATGATTTTATCATGGGTAAACACTTCTTAATATTGTTTAGTATTGATGTGTCTGTCTGAACATTTGCAACAGCAACTGTTGATTCTGTCAATCGTGTTTCTGGAGTATTCATTTGTCGTTCCCATTTTGTGATATACCTGCTTACGATGTTTTCTTCCATGTCCCATGCATTCGAATTTTGAACAGCTTGAAAATAACAATTTTTCTTGAAGTTCAATAGCTTACGATAAGTATTGTTGTTTTCTCCGATTGAAAATTCCAGTTGATCAAATAACTGCCGTACATTTTCTCCATTATTGATAATTGCATCATCAAGTGTTGTGAACAGTTCATCAATTGCAGCGTTATTCATATCTTTTTTTTTGTTGATCGATAAATCTAGTCAACTATGAATAAAATAAAATAATTTAGTGTAGTTTTATGAGCCAGAAGAAGAACAAGAATCCAAAATTCCTCACCTTCTAAGAACATCTTAATAGTAATTTTGTATGTTATCTACATCTCGAGTAGCATAAATTATACGAAATATAGCTGCTGGTCAACTATATTTAAAATTATTTTGTAGGTGTCGACATATATATGAATGTGGATTTTTATGAACGTATTTCTCTTGCCCGTATTCACATCCAACCACATTCGCTCAGTTTTTCATATTCTCCGATCATTTCTACCCATATCTTCAAGAAAATTAGATTCCATTTAAAACAAAGCTGATTGCTATGGCTATACAAGTATTGAGACTGCTAAGAAGCAATTTTGCTTTGTTGAGAAAAAATTCTATTTCATTGTTTTCACTGAATTGTATTATTCTACATTAAAAAAAAATGAATGAAACAAAAGTCTATCGCTAGTAAGGGTGGCACTTTACCTTTCTTTTACTAGGCTAAGCAAAAAGTAAATATTTTAACTGATCAGTTCAGATATAATAAATTCACCTTCTTCGACAAATTAGAGTGAAGTCAAATAAAATCTTACAGTTAAATTTATTGTTGATTTGGTAGTTTATCATCATACTTTGATGACACCCCTATATATAAGAAGTCATTCATAAATATTCATGTATTCGGATGTGAGTGTATATGACCAGAGCCACACCCAGACTCAGATACAGATCGACACCTACGTCGTTTTCTCTAAATACTACATAAACAAGAGAAATTTCTTCAAACTTTCTATGCAGAAAAAAGATCATGATGACCCTCCTTTTAAATTCTACTAAGTAATATATTTATTCTGTCTTCTGCAGCATGTACAATTTTGTTATCTCTGATGTCTATGCAAAATATATCGTGTAAACATTAAAGGAACTGGAAGTAAATTTATGATAGGTGCTACACTAAATAATAATTCAATATTGTTTTGATAATATAACTTGCAATGAAAGTGATTTGATAATATATTATAAATAAATTAGGACGACTATCGATCAAATAGAATAGTCTGGCA